GAGCTTTGACTTTGTTGTCTTCTTCTGGTTGTATGTTTTGATCTTCTTTGTCCCCAAAGTAAGATTCTATGGTCTGATTCTTTTTGCGCTGCTTGCTCATGATCCCGGCCAATTACTTGAGTTATAAACTTTTTGTTAAGGTAGGGGTCTGCTTCCAGTATGGAGAATGTACTGTCCCAAGCTTTGGGAATTTTGTGCAGCTGTTTTCAGAGATACTTCTAGGGACCTATAAATTTTCAGTTCTTCCAAGGTGCTATGAAAAAGGGCGAAGTGTTAACTCCTTTCTTGGCCTGTGCTCTGGTCTACGAGTGACCACAAGCTCTCTTTTCTGTCTTGGAACTGTGAGGAGGATTTCCTCTCCACAGCTACTACAAGTTCCACCATGCCAGCACTCCTCCTCGCCCCAGGACTGTCACCCAGAACTGTGACACAGATTCAAGCACGGGCAAAGCAAGAGAATCCTGCACCAGCAGAGAGATCCCTGCAATCCCCCTCTGATTAGCCACTCAATTCCCCCACAGTCTGTCAGCTAGAAGCTCAGGAAGCATCTACCACCCTGGGCCAAGCTCAGGGACTGGGTCTGGGACCGCTCTTCTGTTTCTCATCGTAGACACAGACTTTTCCCATTGACCTTCTAAGTTGTCTTTGGCGTTCAAGGGTTGAAAAGTCTGGAAACTGCCACAGCTGCTTGCGATTCAGTCCTCTGAGGGCTGCTCCAGATTTGCTGAGGCCTGCCTTGCCTGCAGGACCACGCCGAACTGTACTCCTCTCCTAGCCCAGCATGATATACCTTTTGATCAACCACCCAAGCTGTCTTGGGCTGTAAATTTGTTTCACTCTGTCTTTTTGTGGGTTCTGCTGCTTTAGAATTTGTTTAGAGCCATTTTTTATAGTTATTTGGAGGGATTTGGGGGAGAGCTCAAGCAAGTCACTGCTTTTGCTCTGCCATCTTGGCTCCGCCCCCTCTTTTTTTCCTTTTTGGGTGAGGTAATCAGAGTTAAGTGACTTGCCCAGGGTCACAGAGCTAATAAGGGTCACGTGTCTGAGGTTGTATTTGAGCTCAGGTCCTCCTGACTCCAAGGCCGGAGCTCTGTCTACTGTGCCACTTAGCTGTCCCTCTGTTAGCTTCTTTACTGCTGTCTTCCAACATACCAAGCCTTCTTTATCCTTCAGATATGTTGTTGACCCTGCCAGTCCCTTCAAGCTTTCGTCCCTATACCTATTTTGCCTTTTGTAGTCAAACTTCTCAAAAAGACTGCTGACGTGTATTGCTTCCATTTCTTCAGATATTATTTCCCAACTCCTTGCATTCTTCTAAAATCTACTTCACTACTATACCCAGATTGCTTTCTATAAGATCACTAATATCTAATCCAATGGCCATTTTTTAGATCAGTTTTCATTAATCACTCCTTTTTCTTTGGCTTCAATGACTTTACTCCTTTTTAGTTTTCCTTCCACACATTTGACTAATCCTCCGTTTCCTTTGCTGGATTGTCATCTATCTCCCACCCATTAAATATGAGTGCCCTCCAAGGGTCCATTTTGGGTCCTTTTCTCTTTCTCTGTACTAAATTCATTAGATGTTGAGAGTGATATATATATCATAGCCCCCGGCTTCTCCCCCGCCCTGCCCCAGTTAGATGTAAAAGCAGAGACTCCCCAGTATAGTGCTCTGCACATAGTATATACTTAAGAAATTTATTGGATTGAATATTTCCCTTTGAAGTAGTTACCTTATAACACATCTGTACACATCTGTTTCGAAGATACTGTAGTTGCTCAAAATGCTTTTGGAACTATGCCATTGGAAGGTCCTTCAGAGCCAGTTCTCAAATCATATAAGAATAACAACCTAATTATTCTATAAGCCAACCTTGATTTTTACCAAAAACAATACTATTCTACATGATTGCTCTTCTACTTTTCCCAACTTGGTGCTAAAAAACTTTTGACTCTTAGAACTAACATTAGCTGCCCGTTCTCCTAACTGCTTATATTCTAACGCAGAAGAGTTATTAACCTGTAATCCATGAACTTTAAAAAAACTATTCCATTATAATTGATTTCCTTCATAATCATATGTATTTTATTTTATACATTTAAAACATTAGTCTAAGAAAATCTAGGCTTCAGACTGCCTAAGTGTTAAAGACACAAAAAGCTTAAGAACTCTTGTTCTAAAGAATGTGCCGCTCTGGCCCTTAATGCAAAGGGAAATATGGAAAGAGAGAAGTTGCTGTGGGCTGAAATAAATAAAATTACTTAAAATAATTAAATATTTAAAATTATTTTTAATTATTTAATTACTTAAAATAAAATTACTTATTTATATAAGTCCTGAAGGATGGATAGATTCTGAATAGGTGAACTAAGAGGCTAGTGACTGTCAAGAGACAGCACAAAGAAAGACACAATAGGATTGGATATAGGAAATGGAGTGTAAGAAAAATATTTTATTAATTTCATTGAGGCTTTACCATTTGGCAGAGGAGTAGAAAATATGGTTAGAGGAACAGCTAGGTGGCGCAATCGATAGAGCACCAGCCCTGGATTCAGGAGGACCTGAGTTCAAATCCCGTCTCAGATCAGACATTTGACACTTGCTAGCTGTGTGACCCTGAGCAAGTCACTTAACCCCAATTGCCTTGCCAAAAAAAAAAAATGGCTAGAGATTAATCAGTGGAGCCAGAATGAAAGCCTTGAATACCAGAATGAAAAATTTGGACTTGATACTGTAAGTACTACCTCATTATAGATTCTTAGTAGAGGAGAGGTATAAGAAGGGTACGTTGGGAGTTTTGTTGGGTAGTTGTAATAGCTTACATTTATGTAGTTCTTTATGGTTTACAAAGGACTTTCCTCTCAACTGTGTGAGGTAGGCAGTATAAATATTATTATCTTCATTATACAGTGAAGGCTCTAAGGCCTAGAGAACTTAAATTATTTGATCATGGTTTTACAGATGATAAATTTCAGAGTTAAGTCTTCTGACTTTAACCCTAGTGCTTTTTCCACTGAGAATATCTATGAATTTTTTTTAACAGCATTTCATCCACTGATACATTCTCTGGTTGCATTTGTTTACTGTGTGCCTCCTTTGTTCAGCACATTGTGCTGGGAAAATAAAGAGTAAGAAGATGAATAAAGCAAAGTCTTAGATCTCAGAAAGGTTTTAGTTTGTGTAGTTGATATGAAAGGTACACAAGTAATTGTATTCGAATGCATAAAATTTGTTGTTAGTGCTAATAATCACTCATGTGCCTTATCATGACAGCCCAATAAGACACAACAGCCCGCATTATTACTGACCCTATTTTTACAATGAAGGAATCAAAGTTTTGAGAAGTTAAATGACTTACTCCGAAGTGTCAGAGTTGGGCTCCACCTCCCAAACTGACTCTTTTCTGTTACACCAATAATATTTACTAAATAATGTATGCAAACCTAACCCTATCCCAAATCATAGCTAAAGTTTATATGGCAGTTTGAGGTTTGCCAAGTGCTTTATCACTTAATTCTTCCCACTGAATTTTTCTATGTGATAGTGGAATGGTGACTATGATACTGGTAGCCAGGTAAGTTGTCTAAAAGAAATAAGGACAGATAGAGATCTTAGAAAACTCAAAGCTTTGTATATAAAAAAAAATCCATTATATTTTCCCTCTCATTTCTAATCATTTTTTATTTGATTTTCACATTACTTTAGTACTTTAGAACAGGGACAGAAATTCTAAAAACTATACCTATAATAATTTTCTATCAAACTAGTCAGAACTGCCCATTTGTACAGAATTTAATTTGGAACAACCAGTTATTCTGAGTCACTCTGATTCAGTCACTATTTAGAGAAAGACTGTGCAAATTAGTTTGAATGAAAGAGTAGTACTAATTTTTGGTAACTTGTTTTCATTCTGCTTGTTATTGTTGATTACTAAGTATATTTGGGCTTCTTTATTTTAATAATCCAGTAGTACCAATTGAAAAGATAGATAGGGATGCATGACTGTCATATTCTTTGTTGTGGAGTGAATCAGTTAATTTTTGTGGGATTAATAGTGTATTTATTTGTAACATTTTTTTTTCAATTACTTCTGAAGATTGCTATCCATTTTCAGTTTTTTGCAACTACTGTTTCCCCAGGTTTTATCTATAAGGAAAATGTTTAGGATCAAGGAAGTGACTTAATCTGGTGATGACTTATTATCAGCCTGCAGTTTTGCCATTATTAAAGTGTTGGGTAGAATAGAATAATAAAATGTGAGAGCTGGAAAGAGCTTTAGAGATTCTCTAGTCCAACCTCTTCATTTTACAGATGATGAAATGGGAAAGATTGATGGTATGCAGTGAAAAATCTGTAAGGTCCCCCCAGTTTTAAAATTCTGTGAATAATTCAGCCAAGTGTGGAAAACATATGAACTGATACAGATTGAAGAAAACAGAATCAAGAAAACCATATATTACAATAGCTACAATATAAGTGAGAACAACAAAAAAAGATCCAAAATTGAATATTACATAATTATAATGACCAAAGTTGGCTCCTAAGAAGAGATGAGAAAACAAACTTCCGTTACTTTTTTGCGGAAATGGGAGATTATGGGTGTAACATTATATGTAATCTCAGACTTGATGTGTTGGTTGGTTTGGCTGAACTGCTTTTATTTTCTTCACTTTTTAATGTCTTTCTGAGTAGGAAAAATTGGAGGGACACTTTAAGAAATTAAAGTGATGTAAAAACAAATATAACAATAAAAATCACAAGTTTGAAAATAAAACAATTCATGAATCTTAAAGACAAAAACAAAAACAAAACAAAAACAACAACAACAACTGGTTTTGGCCACCGACCACTTCCACTCAAGTATTGGAAAGCACTACAAGTATTCCAATACAGGGCATGGATTCTGTTTCACAAATATGATTTCCAGTAATAGCATACTGAAGAAACTGGTTTTATAAGACTACTTCAATTTTTCTTTTTCCAATATTCTCCACAGGTATTACTATGTTTCTCCCGAGATACATCTGTATTAGGACACTTTGCCTACAATAGTGCTTCACCACCAAAGTCATACATAAGAGGTAAAAATGTAACATATAAAGAGAGCATTTTTTTAAGACTTAAGCTTTAATTGCTTAAAATTGCACTAAAACTTTTATTATATCTTGTACAGATTTACCAAAAATTATTTCTGTTTTTTGCAGAATTCTAGTTTTATTAGAAATTTTTACTGTGGTTAAATTTTCATAGAACAGTTAGAATTGTATGGATTCATTTTCTTACTCTCAATTAAATCTCTGCCCTTGAAATATATTTAAAAACCATAGAAGCCTTATGTCCTGTTAAACAAAATGTAAAATTTATTTTTCTTGTCTTTCCTATTTAATGCCCTCCCACCAACTTCCTTAGTATTTCTCTCTTGTCAAAAATTGTTTTGAAGAATTTAAGCGCTAAATGGAATAGGGAAACTATGGTCTAAACCTGGGGCCAGTTTCAACAGGCTGCATTTCTTACTCACAGATTCACAGAATTTGACAGGAAAAGGGGAATTCTGTGGCTATCTATACCTGAAAGGAATTCCCATTGTTACATACTCAGCTCTGTATACAACACTCTTTCAGTATTCAGCCTTCCAGCAAGGGGGGAGTATGACTTCTCATCTTTGCCTGCTGCATTTGATAGTATTAATCCCACTTCCTTAAAGCTCTCCACTCTTGGCATTATATTCTCCTTATTCTCTTTACTACCTGCTCAGTCACCTTTTATGACTCCTCTTTCCCCCTAACTACAATCATACTTCTAAGTTCAGTACCTTGTTTTTTTATTTTTCTCTTTTTTATCAGGTAGCTCAACCCCCATTGTGATTTAAATTATACCCTATATTTTAATGACTATTCAATAGATGTCTCTAATTTTGACCTCTGACTTGTGTACACAGCTGTCCACAAGATGTCTATTCTAAAATTTACATATAGTATTGCCATCATCTAATACTCATTATCTCAAAAAATGTACACATAATATCCCCCCCACAAATAGCATCTTAACTATTTTTGTAAGTCATACTTACCAGTGTTCCGAGGGTACAGTTTTGATTTTTTTATTCCTTTTTTTTCTACTCATATTGTTGATTATTCTTTTTTCTTTTTTTTTTGGCTTAGGCAGTTGGGGTTAAGTAACTTGCCCAGGGTCACACAGTAAGTGTCAAGTGTTTGGTCTGAGGCCAGATTTGAACTCAGGTCCTCCTGACTTCAGGGCCGGTGCTCTATCCACTGCGCCACCTATCTGCCCCTTGATTATTCTTCCAAAATGACTTTGGTTTGACCCTTACTTCTACTTGACCATTGTACCCCAAGAGTTTGTCCTTCTTTCCCTATATTTTCTCAGTTGGTGACTTCATTAGTTTCTGTGGTTTGAATGATCATTTCTATGAAAATGATTCCCAGATCTATATATCAAACCCTAGTCTGTCTCCTGAGCCTCAGTCCCTCATTATGAATGACCTATTGGGCATTTCAAACTGTATGTCCTGTAGGTATTTAAAACTAAACATGTCCATAATAAAAATTAATTATCTTTCTACCTATCTTCTAAACTTTCCTATTTCCGTCAAGGGGACCACCATCCTTCCAGACTCTGAAGTGCACAACATTGATCTCACCCTTATTGCCTTAATCTCACTCCCTTCACATGTCTAATCAGTTGCCAAAACTTGTCGTTTTACCTTGACAGCATCTCTTATATACATTTCCTCCTCTCCATTTACACACGCATCACTTTCATCACCTCTCCTCTTCACTATTTTCTCTGATTGGTCTCCTTGCTTCAAGTCTCTCCCCACTCTAATCTTTCCTCTACAAAAGCACAGCTCTATGTCACTGCCCTACTTAAGATACTCCAGGGGTTCCTTAATACTTCTAGGTTCAAATATGGACTCCTCTGCTTGACATTTGAAACTCTTCACCCCCTGGCTCCATCCTACCCTTCTAGCCTCATTACTAGCCTATTCCTTCTTTCCAGACACTCTAGTGTATAGCTGTGCTGTCCTTCTTGCCATTGCTTATACTCAGCACCTATCTCTCTGCCTTTGTACTTACTCACTTCTGTGTCCAAAATGCTCTCCCTCCTCACATCTGCCTTTTGGAATCCCTGCTTTTCCTCAAGACTCAGCTCAAGAACCGCCCCCTGAATAAGGTTTTCTCTGGTTCCTCTCAGCTGCCAATGCCTTCCTCACCAGGCTTACCTTGTGTTTGCTTTGCCTAGACATGCAAAAAGCATAACATATGCATGTTGTTTATTCCCATTAGAATATATGCTCAAGGGCAAAAGCTGTTTGCCTCAGTATTTCCATCTCTGTGCTAGACTGGTACATAATGCCAGGTACATAGTGTGTGTTTCATAAATTCTTGTTGATAGATTGATTCAGACTCACATCCCCTCACATATGGATTACTGTATTACTGATATATTACTGATAAGGCTATTCTAGCCTGATCTCCCTCAGTACTTACCTCTCTCAGCTATATTTTTTATGCAGCATCCTGATTCTGAGTGGATGCTAGTTAGTGAAGTGGATAGAGCACTAGTCCTGGAATGACTTGAGTTCAAATCTGGCTCCAGACATTTATTAGCTTTATGACCCCAATCAAATCACTTAACCTCTCCCTGCCTCAGTTTTCTCAACTGTAAAATGGAAATAATAATAGCACCTACTTCCCAGGTTTGTTATACTGATCAAATGAGGTAATATTTGTAAAGTTCTTAGCACAGTGCCTGGCGTGTAGTAGGTGCTTAATAAATGGTTATTTCCTTCATTCCTTCTAGATTAATCTTCCTGAAACCATTTTCATCACATCCCTCCTGTCCTCAAAAATTGATAGTAGATTCCTGTAACCTGATGGCTTAAATCCAAGCTCGTTCTGGTATTCAAGGGCTTTCATAAGCCAAATTCCCTTTGCAAATCAGACTAGTGTCTGCTCATTGTTCCTCATATTATGTTCATTCTCACTTCCATGCCTCTCCCTAACCCAAAATGTCCACATTTGTGACCCTGCTCCTTCCATTAGCTCTTGCCTACCCTTGCAGTCATAGTCCCAGAGAGGCAAAGTAACTTGAAATTATATCATAAACCATTTGATACAGTTTTAATTGCTATTTGGTATGCAGCTCACTAAGGGAATGAGTCAGAATAAACTGCAGAGCACTTTGAGTCATTCCATGTTGTACTCCTTCCCACCCTCTCTGTCTCTGTCTCTATGTCTCTTACACACACACACACACACACTCACTCACTCACTCACTCACTCACTCACATACACACCAGATTTTTAACATCATTGTTTTTCTGATAATGTTATTGTGGAACACCATGACCTCAAAAAAATCTTAATTGCAAGTGACTCAGAAGGGAGCAGAGAAATGCATGGTTCATGTAAGTAGACATCAGCATATTATCAACAATGACTTATCCATAGGAAATGGCATAAAAGATGACATCCTGGAAAGGTATTACCAGAAAAGGTCTTCTAGAAGAGGGAAGGCTATCAGGTGGATAGCCTAAGGACTGTACTAGTATCCATGAAATATGAAAAACCCTAGAGAATAACCTTCGGGACATTGGAACACTCCCTTATGGAGAAATTATGGGAGGGCATGGATAAGAATGAAAGAGTTGGATGGGTCACAGCTTGCACCAACCAAGGAAGTACTTACATCAGTGACATCATGAATTCATTGAAGTATTAGTTGTATAATGTATTGTATTGTTAACTATTGTTTTTTGTGTGTTACTCATGTCTCCCTCTTGAAGTATCTTTTTTTTTTAACCTGTGTTACTGTGGGTTCCAAATTTTCTTTCTTCCTCCCTCCCCACCCACCATCATTGAAAAGGCAAGTAACTCAATACAGGTTATACATGTGTAGTCATGCAAAACACTTCCATAGTAGTCATGATGTGGAAAAACTAACTATATTTCCCTTCATCCTATCCCTCCCCCCATTTATTCTGTTCTCGCTTTTGACCCTGTTCCTCCTCAGAAGCGTTTGCTTCTGATTACTCCCTCCCTCAATACGCCCTCCCCTCTATCATCTCCCTGCTGTCTTGTCTCCTTACCCCCATATTTTCCGGTAGGATAAGACAGATTTCCATATCCCATTGAGTGTGTATGTTATTCCCTCCTTAAGCCAAATCCTATGACAATAAGATTCACTCATTCCCTCTCACCTTCCCCTGTTTCCCCTCCACTGTAAAAACCTTTTCTCATCTGTTTTATGTGAGATAATTTACCCCATTCTACCTCTCCCTTTCTCCTTCTCCCAGTATAATCCTCTCTCATCCCTTAATTTTATTCTTCAGATATCACCTCTTCATCTTCAACTCAACCTGTGCCCTCTATCTATATATCTATCTATCTATACATACATACATACATATAATTTTTATCCTCCAACTACCCTAATACTGACAAAAGGTCTCATGAGTTACAAATATCATCTTTCCATGCAGGAATGTAAACAGTTCAACCTTAATAAGTCTCATATTATGATTTCTCTTTCCTGTTTACCTCTTCATGCTTCTCTTGAGTCTTGTAATCTGTAAGTCAGATTTTCTATTCAGTTCTGGTCTTTTCATCAAGAATGTTTGAAAGTCCCCTATTTCACTGAATGACCATTTTTTCCCCTGAAGGATTATACTCAGTTTTGCTGGGTAGGTGATTCTTGGTTGTAATCCTATCTCCTTTGCCCTCTGGAATATTATATTCTATGCCCTCTGGTCCCTTAATGTAGAAGCTGCTAAATCTTGTGTTATCCTGATTGTGTTTCTACAATACTTGAATTCTTTCTTTCTGGCTGCTTGCAATATTTTCTCCTTGATGTGGGAACTCTGGAATTTGGCTACAATATTCCCAGGAGTTTTCCTTTGGGGGCTTCTTTCAGGAGGTGATCGGTGGATTCTTTAAATTTTTATTTTACCCTCTGCTTCTAAAATATCAGAGCAGTTTTCCTTGATAATTTCTTGAAAGATTATCTCTAGACTCTTATTTTGATCATGGTTTTCAGATAGTCCAATAATTTTTTAAATTCTCTCTCCTGGATCTATTTTCCAGGTCAGTTGTTTTTCCAGTGAGATATTTCACATTGTTTTCTATTTTTTTCATTCTTTTGGATTTGTTTTACAGTGTCTTGATTTCTCATAAAGTCACTAGCTTCCAATTGCTCCATTCTAATTTTTAAGGAAGTATTTTCTTCAGTAAGCTTTTGGACTTTCTTTTCCATTTAGCTAATTTTGCTTTTTAGGGCATTCTTCTCTTCATTGGCTTTTTGGACCTCTTTTGCCATTTGGGTTAGGCTATTTTTTAAGGTGTTATTTTCTTCAGTATTTTTTGGGGTCTTCTTTAGCAAGCTGTTGACTAGTTTTTCATGATTTTCTTGCATCACTCTCATTACTCTTCCCAGTTTTTCCTCTACTTCTCTTACTTGCTTCTCAGAATCCTTTTTGAGCTCTTCCATGGCATGGGACCAATTCATATTTTCCTTGGAGGCTTTGGAGGTAGGAGCTTTGACTTTGTTGTCTTCTTCTGGTTGTATGTTTTGATCTTCTTGGTTACCAAAGAAAGATTCTATGGTCTGATTCTTTTTGCGCTGCTTGCTCATGATCCCGGCCAATTACTTGAGTTATAAATTCTTTGTTAAGGTAGGGGTCTGCTTCCAGTGTGGAGAATGTACTGTCCCAAGCTTTGGAAGTTTTGTGCAGCTGTTTTCAGAGATATTTCTAGGGACCTATAAATTTTCAGTTCTTCCAAGGTGCTATGAAAAAGGGCGAGGTGTTTACTCCTTTCCTGGCCTGTGCTCTGGTCTGTGAGTGACCACAAGCACTCTTTTCTGTCTTGGAACTGTGAGGAAGATTTCCTCTCCACAGCCACTACAAGCTCCACCATGCCAGCGCTCCTCCTCACCCCAGGACTGCCACCGAGAACTGTGACCCAGATCCAAGCACAGGCAAAGCCAGGGAATCCTGCACCAGCAGAAAGATCCCTGCAATCCCCCTCTGATCAGCCACTTGATTCCTCCTCAGTCTTTGGGCTGGAAGCTCAGGAAGCAGCTGCTGCCCCGGGCCAGGCTTGGGGACTGGAGCTGAGACCACCCCACTTCTGTTTCTCACCGTAGACACAGACTTTTCCTACTGACCTTCTAAGTTGTCTTTGGCGTTTGAGGGTTGAAAAGTCTGGAAACTGCCACAGCTGCCTGCAATTCAGTCCTCTGAGGCCTGCTCCAGGTTTGTCGTGGCCTATGCTGCCTGCATGATCATGCTGAACTGCACTCCTCTCCTAGCCTGGCGTGATATACCTTTCTGATCCACCATCCAGGCTGTCTTGGGCTGTAAATTTGTTTCACTCTGTCTTTTTGTAGGTTCTGCTGCTTTTGAATTTGTTTAGAGCCATTTTTAATAGGTATTTGGAGGAGTTTGAGGGAGAGCTCAAGCAAGTCACTGCTTTTACTCGTCCATCTTGGCTCCGCTCTCTTAAAGTATCTTTAAGGCAAGGATCATATCTTGTAATTCTTCCATATCTCTATAGTTTTCATTCAGTCTTAAGCACATAGGAAGTACTTAATCAATACTTGTTGACATATGTCTAATTACTACCAATTATTTTATGAGTATTAGAACTCTTATCATTGTCAAGAGGGGTAGTATTTTAAGATCTTAAATAAAAATAACTTTAGGAGCAGCTGGGTGGCACAGTGGATAAAGCACCGGTCCTGAAGTCAGGAGGACCTGAGTTCAAATCCGGCCTCAGACACATAACACTTACTAGCTGTGTGACCCTGGGCAAGTCACTTAACCTCAATTGCCTAAAAAAAAATAATAATAAAATAAAAATAACTTTAAATCTTAATTTTTATAGGATCTAAATTTATAGTAAGACCTCACTAATCTGCAGTAATTTAGGAGGAATACTTTTTGGTGTTGGTAGAAATCTGAATTATAGAGTATTTTAAGGAAATGTAGGTTTACCACATTAAAGTACATTACACCTAAACTCAAATTAAATAAGAAATGTTGCTTGATAGAGGTGTTGCTTGAGGGACTTTAATAAATTGATGAAAATTATTTGTAATAAGCATGTTGATTATATGTAAATTATATTAAGTAGTTGATAGTGAAAAAAATCTCTTGTTTTAATTATTTTTAAAATTTCTTCTAAAGTGTTCATTTGGACTTCATTAAAAAAAAAGTTTGCTAAATCTTTGTACAAAATAATTCCACAGTGTTAAATAATGCAGTTTTATTGCAATAGTATAAATATCCATTTGCCATTACTGCAGAAAATATGAATCAAATAGGTAAATTTTTTTTTACCTATTTGTATTGTTATCTTTGTGATCTCCTTATAGGAAAACTAGGAATGGAAGATTATGCTGTCTTTTATCCACCCAATGGTAAGAATTATACTATTGCTTCCTCTAGTGGAAAAAAGAAAAATTACGTTTTATAATGAAAAAGATGGTTCTTCTGATTCTTGTGTCTTTTAAAAAACATAGTCATTCATATATGGGATTGTATTTCTACCTCACTCTCTGTGAGATAATAAAGTATAATTAATTTCCCAGTCAGTGGTAATAGCTTTGTGTTGACTCATTCATGTTCTCTTGTTCAGAACTTCATTTGACAAGCAACTTCTATTTGTGAAATATAGTCAACCCAGATTAAAAGTAGTCTATGTCCATGAAATAAAATCTTTTCTTTGTGGAAAGCTACTGGCACATAAGATTCATGACCTTGGCTTCATTAGTATCATGCTCTAATTATCATATTCAATTGGTATTTGATGTGATTTGCCTTTACTCTAATTTTGGAAAAAATGTAGATTTAAGCTAGTAATTATAATAGCTTCAATTTAGATAGGATCAAATATAGCAATAGTGACATATTAAATGCAGTACTCTTAGAAATTAAATATTTACTTTGTGAGCTAATCAGATTATTCCAGAGTACTGCTTAGACTTCTAAAGATAAGCTTATTGAGAAAAAGAAAGAAAGAATGTATGATCAAATTGTAACAGGCAAAGCCTGAAGCAAAAGACAGAGGAGACTGGAAACAAAGCAAGAACAGATCCTTTCTGTGCTCCCTTTCCCCCCATTCTCTTCTACCCCTAAGTTTGTCCTGGGTAAGGACCCAAGTCTGGCTGACCCTGACATCCCTAAATATGGAGAAAATGAAGACAGCCAATGGCTCAAACTAAGTGCAAAGAAAGGGGCCTAAAAGTGAGGAGGGAAACCAGATAGGGCAGTTGGGGTTACAAGACAAAGGCTGAAAGACCAAAAGTTCAGGTGAAAAAAACCTGAATAAAATCCTACCTGACAAGCAGATAAACCAGCAGAGAGGATCATAAAGGCAGAATGAAGAAGTAAAGTCTCAAAGAAAAAAACGGTGTATTGAACAAGTATTAAAACATGAAGGTAAATAAAGTAAAACGACCTGATGAGAAAAGAAAATCCTGAGAACTTCCCAGAAATAATGGAACAACATTAAAAAAAATTCCAAAAGTTCCAGAAGAGACAAAAAGAGAGGCCACCTAGTGGAATGGATAGGAAGTTGACCTTGCCATCAGGAAGACCTGGATTCAAGTTCTGCTGCTGATGCATACTGGCTGCTTGGTGGCCCCAGGCAATTCTCTGAGACCTGTGTTAGAATATGTGCTGATTTCCATTGGTACAAAGTTTCCTATGTCAATGAAATAACAAGTCCAAACCAAAAACAGACAGAAATAAAACTTTATTTTTTAAATTAGGAATGAATTTTAAGTCACTATTCAAAACTCATTGCAGAGTTTAAAGAGGAAACAAATCACAAAATAGGAAGAATTGAATACACAGTGAAGAATTTCTACAAAGTAGAGACTGAAAGTGAGACAGACATTTGGAAGACCAAATACTGAAGCAGAAGTAAATTTGGCAGAAAAGAAACAAAAGGTAATAATGTTAAAAGGATATCTAGATTCTTTGGAAGCCAATGTGATTAATCTTGAAGTCAAGATAAATGAAGCTAACTTTTAAGCATCATCGGTCTTCCAGAAGAACAGAACAAATAAAAAACTTGAATGCCATGTTTCATGCAATAATACACGATAAAGTTGTCTAAAACTTTTGAGTGTGGACAACAAAACGTTGATTATTAGAATCCACAAACTTCCACAACAGAAAAAAAAAGCTTCATACTCTAAGGAATGTAGTAGTTACATTTACAGTATCAATAACAAACAAACAAAATTTGCAAGCAGTCAGATGAAAGCCTAAATATGAAAGAAAGACAGTTTCAATAAGATTATTCTAGAGATACAACAATTCAGGAGAATGAACAAAAAACAAAGGAATTCAAGCTGCAAGACAATTTATCCTAAAAACCTGAACCAAATCACCAATAATAAAGATGGACTTTTAACATAGAACCACTTAAAGCATTCCTACCAAAAAAAATCAAAAGTGAGCAACAAATTATTTAACTTGCAAAAACCTCAAACAATAAAAACCCAAGTACAGTAAATAAATACAATTATCGAAAAAAGAATATAAGGTTGTATATCTTCTATACGGGGACTTTGCACTGATTTTCATCAGGCTGGGGGGGGGCAAAGCACATTAGAAAATAACATTCTGAAAAAGAATTGTAAAATATAAGGCTAGAAAAGTAGGAAGGGGTCAGATTGTACAGAGCTTTAAATTCTAAACAAAATACTCCATATTTTATCCTAGAGGTAATAGGAAGTCCCTGAAGTTTACTGAGTATCTGGAGGTGGTGAGTGCAGGGGACATGTTTCATAGTCAGAAAATATGTTGGGCAACTTTGTAGAGAATGGATTGGAGGGCAAGGAGACCAATTAGAAAACTATTGCTGTAATGCAGGGGAAAAGAAATGAGGGTCTGTACTAGGGGGATGGTTGCTTGAATAGACAGAAGGCGGACTTACATGCCAAGATTTGGAAACTGATATGAGATGAGTGCAAGTGAACACCTGAGGATGACACCTAGATTTTGAGACTAGGTGACTAGCAGGATGGTGGTACCTTCAGCAGTATCAGATCAGTTCAGAAGAATGGAGAGTTGTGGAGGAAAGATAATTTTTTTTTTTAATTTGGAATTGTTCAGTTTGAGAAGCCTACAAAGACCTCCCAGTTGATGGTAGTTGATGATGAGGATTTGGAGCTCAGGAGAAAGACTAGGGGTAGATATATAGTTCTGGGAGGCATCTTCATAGATGTGATAATTGAACCCCCAGAATCTGATGAAATTACCAGTTGAGAAAGAAGAGAACATTCAGGACCAAGTCTTAAAGGATACCTATGAAGATCCAGCAAAGGAGATTGTGAAAGCATTGTGAAGATGGAGGGGAACCAAGAGAAAACAGTGTCCCTAAAATCTAGAGAGGAGAAAGTATCTAGGAGGAGATGCTACTAGTGACAAGTGCTGCAAAGCAAAGGGTTAGGAGTGAGAAGAAGCCAGTATTTATCAATTATGAGATCATTGGTAATTTGAGAGACAGAGCGTGTGCAGTGTTAATTAAATGGTGAGCTTGGGAGCCAGACTGCAAAAGATTTAGAAAAGAGTAAGAGGAAAGGGAGTAGAAGCACAGGTTGTAGATAATTTTAAGAGTTTAGCTAAAAACAAGTGTTGAAATATGTGATGACGGTCAAATCAATCAAGGGTTTCTTAAGCACTGAGGAAATATGGGCACAAATGTGTGAGCAGCAGGAGGGAAGCCGGTGGGTAGAAGGGAGATGGTGGTGAAGACGGAGTGTTGGGGACATCAGGGAAGAGTGTAACCCTCCCAGAGGGGAGAGTCTCCTCTTTTTCAGAGACTAGGGGGGTGAAATGTAATGAGGGGCAGTGTCAAAGAGGTACGAAATGAGTAGAAGAGGAGAAGACAGAGCTTTGTGAATGGCTTCAATTAATTTGGTCAAGAAAGATGAGGTCCTTATCAAAGGTAAGGGAAGAGGACATTAAGAGGTCTGAGAAAAGATGAGAAGGTTTAGAAAAACTGCCATGGTGACTGGGATAGAGAATCTATTACCGAGTAGTGGAAGGTTGCATTGCTGAAATAATTGATATTCTATTACATAAATTTGTAGTAGATCCAATTAACACAGTTTCATTACTTTTTCTAGCTAAGTTCAGCATCACATATATAAGCAAAGAAAGTGGAGAGAGGGGGAGTAATCCAGAGTTGTAGTTTGGCAAGGCATATTTAGCACTTGAACTATACATAGGGTATACTAGCAAAACCTAGATTTTTTAAAATTGAGGGTTACCTACCAAAATATAAAATACCCAGATGAAGAGATCCTGATTGAGAAATATTAAACCCAATTTGAAAAATGAAATAAAAACTGATCATAAATGAACTCCCAAATTAAAAAAGAACTGGTCCAGATGGATTTACAGGTGAATCCTGTCAAATTTTTAGAGAGCAACTAATACCTATATTATATAAATTATTTTTTAAACTTGAGAAATAAAACGTCCTATCACATTCTTCTTATAGGACAAATATAGTCCTAATGCCTAAAGCAAAAAAGACTAAATCCAAGAAAGGTCATTTTAGACCGTTGTTACTAATGTGTACCAATACAAATATTTCAAGTAAAATCCTAGCAGAAAGATTACAACAACAGATTCAAACAGTTATCAACTATGACCAAGCTGGATTTGTATCAGGCTTGCAAGAATAATTCACTGTTAAGAAAACAGGCCTTTATATAAAAAAAAGTGTCCCGAGTCACATAATTATTTCAATAGATTCAGAAAGTCTTTGACAAAATAATAGCATTCATTTATGTTAAAAAAGGAAAGGCAAAGGACCATTTTTCATACAATAAAAAGTATATATCTAAAACCAAAAGCTAACATTTATGATGGGAAAATATATGAAGCTTTTCTAATAAATGCATCGTCCCACCTTCTGTGCTAAGCCTTTCCCAGCCCTCCTTAATCTTAGTGCCTTCCCTCTCTGACTATCCTCAGTTTATCTTATACATATCTTGTTTGTACAGTTATTTGCACTTTGACTCCTCCATTAGACTGAGATCCTTTAGAACAAAGGGACTGTTTAATTAACTTAATTTTTAAAAATTAATTTAATTAATTTTTAATTAATTAATGCTTTATTTTTCAGTTTGGTTTGGTGTTATCTTTCTTAGTATCCGCAACACTTAGCACGGTACCTAGCACACGCTAGGCCCTTAATAAAAACTAAGTGACTGACTGACTTGGGGGCAGCTAGGTGATGCAATGGATAGGGAGCTGGACCTGGAGTCAAAAAGACTCATCTTCCTGAGTTCAAATCTGTCCTCAGACTTACTTACTGTGTAGCCCTGGGCAAGTCTCAGCCCTGTTCACCTCATTTCCTTATCTGTAAAATGAGCTGGAGAAGGAAATAGCAAAC